AAAAGTTAACTATAACCGAATAAAAGGAGCCGGCCAAGAGGCCACCTTAACACCAAAAAAAAAAAAAAAAAAAAGATTCATTATCTGTTTTTCTATTTAAACTTTAATGCATATATCCAATATCTAGATATTTTAAAATATTATTATTATATATAAAATTAAATTGCCAAATATGTATTTGGATCATATCTCTATATATAGTATATACATATTATAGTACTCAGATATATACTATATAGCCAAACTATATAGTAAAAAGTATTAGTAGCTGATTTAATTTTTATAAAAATTTGCTAAAGATTTATAGTTCGAAATACAAATATTATTAAATTTTAGCAAATCAGGCACAACTTATGATAAAAAAAAAGAATTTTTTTATTAAGATAATAACTTATTATATTGCTATTATCTAGTTAAATATTTTTAGATCTATATATATATTGATTTTTCAAATTATATAACTACTGTTAGCTACTGCTTACAGTACCCAAGATTTTATTTTGAAATTTCTTTTTAAAATTGAATAGTACCTAGTATTATTCACAAATTTAGCAATATTATTAATAAAGAATAGATATTTTAAGTAGTAGAATACTATTTTAAAAAGATACTATAGATAGTAGTCAATAGTATTATATTAAATATCTGAATATTATTAATTAAGAATACTAAAAGTATTATAATATATACTATATAATATTAATTTAATTCTAATTATTAAGTATTTTATTTATTTATTTACTTTGTTAAAGAATTTATTATCATATATCAATTTTTATTTTTGTTTAATTTGTGATTCATCGGTCACAAGATATTGATTATATGTGTATATAATAGTTAAAACAGAGATAACTAATATATTTAAGCAAATATACTTGTAACAATCTGACAACATATTATTAAAATTGCTCAAAAAAATATCTAAATGGTAGAAATCTTTAATAACCTTAATTGTTACTAGCATAATTATACCTAACTTGCATTTTAGACCTTTTTTAAGAAGCTAGTGGTATATTAAAATGATATAAGAGAACAAAACAAAAATTAAACAATACTACCCTTTTCGAATTAGTATGAAAACACAAGTTTTACTAAAAGACAGACCTTTTATAATTCAAGTTGTTCAAGGAAATAAATATAATAATTTGTTACCAAGATTTTTATATGAATCTTTATTAGAGTCTAATAATGAAGTTAAAAATGACTCTATAGCTGCTATTTCAAAACTTTATAAAAAAATATTTCAAACAGAAACACATTTTTCTGGAGTATCAATGATAGGTATGGATGACAATAATATTTTAGATGAACTTGTATCAGATTTATCTTTTCAACTTTTTATGATAAATTTACAGAAAATTAGTATAGTGATACATTCGATTGGTATATTAACAAAACAAGGAGCTGAATATGGATTTGCTTTATCTTTTATCTATTCCAAGTCCAATGAATGTATTTTGATTTTTCAAACTGTAAATAAGGATAGATACTCTATTTGTATTTACAAACAAAACCAAATTTCTGAAGAATATCGTGGATTAGATCCTAATAGTATGTAAAAAAATATAGGCATATTAAAAAAATGGTCAGAAATTACTTTATTTGGCTTAGATAATTATAGCGTAAAAAAAAAATTAGAGCAAGCAAAAAAACTGTTATGTTTCATGATGAATAGTACAATTATTCGAAAATAAAGCAAATATTCAGATATTATTTGTATAGAAGAACATACAGTTAGATTAATTAGTATTTATTGTTTCAGAACTGAAAAAAAATAATTGTCAAATAATTGAATTACAAAGCCAGTTAGCTTCGTTATATCCAGATAGTTATATTTTTTCTGAAAGAGAAATCTAAGCATGGTGAGCAATGTTACATGCTACTAGATATGTCAATATAACTCTGTTTGATAAAGAAAAATCTGAAATAGATATTATTGATACTAGATTGCTAATTGTAAAAAACTAGTAGTAAAGGATTGATGTGATATTATAATACTGTAATAGTAGTAGTATAGTACAACTAGTAGTGATGTAATAGTAGCGAAACTATAATATAATTATCCTGCTAACTAAAATTTCTTTACCAAACTTTATAGTATGAATTTTGGACTCGATCATTTGATCCTGAATCAGATAAAGCAATGATCAATATACTTTACCAAAATAGGTTTTTACAAACAATACCAAAGCAAATATTCAATACCACAGAAGTATTTTGGAAAAGTTTTGAATATAGCTTGAGTTTAAATAAACATGGTGCTAAAGAATACTTTCAATTATTGCAGATAAGTTCCTTTATAAGGAATTACAAACTAGACTTTATGTAAATATTTTATAATATTCAAACAGCTTTTTCTTTAGCTAATATATTATATTTTTATAGGTTTTTTCTTACTCAATTCACAATGCAAAAATGTATTTGGTAATGGATGCCCCACTACACCTAAACCACCAATACGAAAAAAATTATGCCTCAAGAACATGAAGATCAATTTGAATAGTTTATGAGTAATAAAGAAAATGCGAATTTAAGCTCTTACAAAGTTGATACTAAAACAGGATTGCCACTAAAATATCTTAGTAATCAAAAAGAAGTACTTTGAAAAAAATTTCATAAATTGTATCCTAAAGGAATAAAACAAACAGTATTTTTCAAAAGATTATGAAATAGACTATTTGTATACCAAGAGGATTTAGAAGAACTTTGTAGTACCTGTAGTACTTATAGATATGATATATTTGAAGATTTGGCGAATATAATTGTACAAAATATTGAAAATCAGGAGCTTCAGGTAAGATCTAAAGTATATTATTTTATTTTTTATAAAAATATTTGAACTAACTATCAAAATTGTACAAATTAGACACATTTGCTTAAAAAATTTCTTAAGCGTGATTATCTGAAATATTTATATATAACTTGTTATGGAACAGTATCACATGACTCTTGTATCAATTATTGCCTACTATTTGCATTTGGTAATTGTAATAAGGAATATATACTTAAATATGATAAATGTAATAAAATATTCAATTTATTTGAAGAATTGCAATTATTGCTTAGAGATGAACAACAAGAGATATTGAAAGAACTTCAGGAAATGCTAGAATATTATCTTGCACATTTAACTAGAAAAAGATATTTGAACAGTTAATTTAATGCCAATATTTTACAACTTAATAATGATGGAGCTCTTATAATAGTAAATTACAAAATACAAATATTTCCAAAATGAGTCTGAGAAACAAAACAAGATTTTTATGCAAAACATAGTTAGGCATTACATATTGTTTTGGTATATTCTAAAAATTAAGAGAATAATAAGTTAGAAATTTAAGTTTTTGATTATTAGTCAAATAATAATAGACAGGACATATGGTTTACAGCCTCATCTTTCGATTCAGTATTTACCTTACTTAATCTAAAGCCAAAATGGGTTATCATAATAAGTGATAATGGTCCATATTATCAT